GGTGGGACTGTTGGACCACAGGGTGGGGCTGTTGGACCACAGGGTGGGACTGTTGGACCACAGGGTGGGGCTGTTGGACCACAGGGTGGGGCTGTTGGACCACAGGGTGGGACTGTTGGACCACAGGGTGGGGCTGTTGGACCACAGGGTGGGACGACGGGGTGGCGCTGTTGGACCACAGGGTGGGGCTGTTGGACCACAGGGTGGGGCTGTTGGACCACAGGGTGGGGCTGTTGGACCACAGGGTGGGGCTGTTGGACCACAGGGTGGGACTGTTGGACCACAGGGTGGGACTGTTGGACCACAGGGTGGGACTGTTGGACCACAGGGTGGGGCCACAGGGTGGGGCTGTTGGACCACAGGGTGGGACTGTTGGACCACAGGGTGGGGCTGTTGGACCACAGGGTGGGGCTGTTGGACCACAGGGTGGGACTGTTGGACCACAGGGTGGGGCTGTTGGACCACAGGGTGGGACTGTTGGACCACAGGGTGGGGCTGTTGGACCACAGGGTGGGACGACAGGGTGGCGCTGTTGGACCACAGGGTTGGGCTGTTGGACCACAGGGTGGGACTGTTGGACCACAGGGTGGGGCCACAGGGTGGGGCTGTTGGACCACAGGGTGGGGCTGTTGGACCACAGGGTGGGACTGTTGGACCACAGGGTGGGACTGTTGGACCACAGGGTGGGGCTGTTGGACCACAGGGTGGGACTGTTGGACCACAGGGTGGGACTGTTGGACCACAGGGTGGGGCTGTTGGACCACAGGGTGGGACTGTTGGACCACAGGGTGGGGCTGTTGGACCACAGGGTGGGACTGTTGGACCACAGGGTGGGGCTGTTGGACCACAGGGTGGGACTGTTGGACCACAGGGTGGGGCTGTTGGACCACAGGGTGGGGCCACAGGGTTGGGCTGTTGGACCACAGGGTGGGGCTGTTGGACCACAGGGTGGGACTGTTGGACCACAGGGTGGGGCTGTTGGACCACAGGGTGGGACGACAGGGTGGCGCTGTTGGACCACAGGGTGGGGCTGTTGGACCACAGGGTGGGGCCACAGGGTGGGGCCACAGGGTGGGGCTGTTGGACCACAGGGTGGGGCCACAGGGTTGGGCTGTTGGACCACAGGGTGGGGCTGTTGGACCACAGGGTGGGACTGTTGGACCACAGGGTGGGGCTGTTGGACCACAGGGTGGGACTGTTGGACCACAGGGTGGGGCTGTTGGACCACAGGGTGGGACTGTTGGACCACAGGGTGGGGCTGTTGGACCACAGGGTGGGACTGTTGGACCACAGGGTGGGACTGTTGGACCACAGGGTGGGACTGTTGGACCACAGGGTGGGGCTGTTGGACCACAGGGTGGGACTGTTGGACCACAGGGTGGGGCTGTTGGACCACAGGGTGGGACGACAGGGTGGCGCTGTTGGACCACAGGGTGGGGCTGTTGGACCACAGGGTGGGACGACAGGGTGGCGCTGTTGGACCACAGGGTTGGGCTGTTGAACCACAGGGTGGGGCCACAGGGTTGGGCTGTTGGACCACAGGGTGGGGCTGTTGGACCACAGGGTGGGGCTGTTGGACCACAGGGTGGGGCTGTTGGACCACAGGGTGGGACTGTTGGACCACAGGGTGGGGCTGTTGGACCACAGGGTGGGACGACAGGGTGGCGCTGTTGGACCACAGGGTGGGCTGTTGGACCACAGGGTGGGACTGTTGGACCACAGGGTGGGGCCACAGGGTGGGGCTGTTGGACCACAGGGTGGGGCTGTTGGACCACAGGGTGGGACTGTTGGACCACAGGGTGGGGCTGTTGGACCACAGGGTGGGACTGTTGGACCACAGGGTGGGACTGTTGGACCACAGGGTGGGGCTGTTGGACCACAGGGTGGGACTGTTGGACCACAGGGTGGGACTGTTGGACCACAGGGTGGGACTGTTGGACCACAGGGTGGGGCTGTTGGACCACAGGGTGGGACTGTTGGACCACAGGGTGGGGCTGTTGGACCACAGGGTGGGGCTGTTGGACCACAGGGTGGGGCTGTTGGACCACAGGGTGGGGCTGTTGGACCACAGGGTGGGACTGTTGGACCACAGGGTGGGACTGTTGGACCACAGGGTGGGGCTGTTGGACCACAGGGTGGGGCTGTTGGACCACAGGGTGGGGCTGTTGGACCACAGGGTGGGGCTGTTGGACCACAGGGTGGGACGACAGGGTGGCGCTGTTGGACCACAGGGTGGGGCTGTTGGACCACAGGGTGGGACGACAGGGTGGCGCTGTTGGACCACAGGGTTGGGCTGTTGGACCACAGGGTGGGGCTGTTGGACCACAGGGTGGGACTGTTGGACCACAGGGTGGGGCTGTTGGACCACAGGGTGGGACTGTTGGACCACAGGGTGGGGCTGTTGGACCACAGGGTGGGACTGTTGGACCACAGGGTGGGGCTGTTGGACCACAGGGTGGGACGACAGGGTGGCGCTGTTGGACCACAGGGTGGGGCTGTTGGACCACAGGGTGGGACGACAGGGTGGCGCTGTTGGACCACAGGGTTGGGCTGTTGAACCACAGGGTGGGGCCACAGGGTTGGGCTGTTGGACCACAGGGTGGGGCTGTTGGACCACAGGGTGGGGCTGTTGGACCACAGGGTGGGGCTGTTGGACCACAGGGTGGGGCTGTTGGACCACAGGGTGGGGCTGTTGGACCACAGGGTGGGACTGTTGGACCACAGGGTGGGACTGTTGGACCACAGGGTGGGACTGTTGGACCACAGGGTGGGGCCACAGGGTGGGGCTGTTGGACCACAGGGTGGGACTGTTGGACCACAGGGTGGGGCTGTTGGACCACAGGGTGGGACGACAGGGTGGCGCTGTTGGACCACAGGGTTGGGCTGTTGGACCACAGGGTGGGACTGTTGGACCACAGGGTGGGGCCACAGGGTGGGGCTGTTGGACCACAGGGTGGGGCTGTTGGACCACAGGGTGGGACTGTTGGACCACAGGGTGGGACTGTTGGACCACAGGGTGGGGCTGTTGGACCACAGGGTGGGACTGTTGGACCACAGGGTGGGACTGTTGGACCACAGGGTGGGACTGTTGGACCACAGGGTGGGGCTGTTGGACCACAGGGTGGGACTGTTGGACCACAGGGTGGGGCTGTTGGACCACAGGGTGGGACTGTTGGACCACAGGGTGGGGCTGTTGGACCACAGGGTGGGACTGTTGGACCACAGGGTGGGGCTGTTGGACCACAGGGTGGGGCCACAGGGTTGGGCTGTTGGACCACAGGGTGGGGCTGTTGGACCACAGGGTGGGACTGTTGGACCACAGGGTGGGGCTGTTGGACCACAGGGTGGGACGACAGGGTGGCGCTGTTGGACCACAGGGTGGGGCTGTTGGACCACAGGGTGGGGCCACAGGGTGGGGCCACAGGGTGGGGCTGTTGGACCACAGGGTGGGGCCACAGGGTTGGGCTGTTGGACCACAGGGTGGGGCTGTTGGACCACAGGGTGGGACTGTTGGACCACAGGGTGGGGCTGTTGGACCACAGGGTGGGACTGTTGGACCACAGGGTGGGGCTGTTGGACCACAGGGTGGGACTGTTGGACCACAGGGTGGGGCTGTTGGACCACAGGGTGGGACTGTTGGACCACAGGGTGGGACTGTTGGACCACAGGGTGGGACTGTTGGACCACAGGGTGGGGCTGTTGGACCACAGGGTGGGACTGTTGGACCACAGGGTGGGGCTGTTGGACCACAGGGTGGGACGACAGGGTGGCGCTGTTGGACCACAGGGTGGGGCTGTTGGACCACAGGGTGGGACGACAGGGTGGCGCTGTTGGACCACAGGGTTGGGCTGTTGAACCACAGGGTGGGGCCACAGGGTTGGGCTGTTGGACCACAGGGTGGGGCTGTTGGACCACAGGGTGGGGCTGTTGGACCACAGGGTGGGGCTGTTGGACCACAGGGTGGGGCTGTTGGACCACAGGGTGGGGCTGTTGGACCACAGGGTGGGGCTGTTGGACCACAGGGTGGGGCTGTTGGACCACAGGGTGGGACTGTTGGACCACAGGGTGGGACTGTTGGACCACAGGGTGGGACTGTTGGACCACAGGGTGGGGCCACAGGGTGGGGCTGTTGGACCACAGGGTGGGACTGTTGGACCACAGGGTGGGGCTGTTGGACCACAGGGTGGGGCTGTTGGACCACAGGGTGGGACTGTTGGACCACAGGGTGGGGCTGTTGGACCACAGGGTGGGACTGTTGGACCACAGGGTGGGGCTGTTGGACCACAGGGTGGGACGACAGGGTGGCGCTGTTGGACCACAGGGTGGGCTGTTGGACCACAGGGTGGGACTGTTGGACCACAGGGTGGGGCCACAGGGTGGGGCTGTTGGACCACAGGGTGGGGCTGTTGGACCACAGGGTGGGACTGTTGGACCACAGGGTGGGGCTGTTGGACCACAGGGTGGGACTGTTGGACCACAGGGTGGGACTGTTGGACCACAGGGTGGGACTGTTGGACCACAGGGTGGGGCCACAGGGTGGGACTGTTGGACCACAGGGTGGGACTGTTGGACCACAGGGTGGGACTGTTGGACCACAGGGTGGGGCTGTTGGACCACAGGGTGGGACTGTTGGACCACAGGGTGGGGCTGTTGGACCACAGGGTGGGACTGTTGGACCACAGGGTGGGACTGTTGGACCACAGGGTGGGGCTGTTGGACCACAGGGTGGGACTGTTGGACCACAGGGTGGGACTGTTGGACCACAGGGTGGGGCTGTTGGACCACAGGGTGGGACTGTTGGACCACAGGGTGGGGCTGTTGGACCACAGGGTGGGGCTGAGGTCCAGACGAGATTCGTGAGGTCAGTTTTCTACATGGTTGGTTCTCTGACGATGACATGTGACATGTGAGATTCGGGGAAGGAGTTAAAGTCGCCTTCGTTTGGTGTCGTACTTTTATCGCCTTGAGTTAGGACCTAAAGAAGAACACGAACAAAAAAAAACAAGAGAATTTTTTTACTGCATCCGTTACAACGACCATCTCTTGAAATGGATTCAGAGTTTGCTTGGCTTGCTTGTACCCATGACAAACACGGGGGTAAAGTTGGGGTTGGTCAGAGCTTCGCGGTTCCAAGAGAACTCCGAAATGTCGTACGTGGTTCGTCCATCTACCGCCAGCTCACTGAGGATTTTACCCAGCAGTGAAGCAAACCTTGAAGAGAAAAATTCAAATTTTAAAATGAGTTATAATAGATTGACGACAGAAGCCTGTGGTTGTATATAACACATTTAATGGGTCTAACTACCTCACGATGGTAACACCAGAGAGGACGGGAGGAAGTACACAAGGGACATCACTCAAGATAACAATATTATAAATATAACTAATACAGAAGAGTGAGTTCCCTTGACCTCACAATTATTTCAATCTATTACATCCCTTTACCCTTAGAACACAATAACACATCTCTCAATAGAACAATTGATAGTATCCTAAAATCACCAATTATATTGTAACATGAACACTATGGTAGATTACATCCTTACAAACAATGCACAATATGCTACAACATAATCAAAATACAAAACAATAATGTCAAAGTCCTTTTGACCTTTAGAATCATAGGTCTAACTTATTTGGGACCTTGATTGTCCTGCTTGACCTTCTCAGTGGCTTTTGATTTGGTGACTCAATATTCTGACCATCTGGATTCTCTATCTCAGGAGGTCTAGGATTTAAATCATTAACTCCAGAATTTACATTTTCTGACTCCAGACAACTTGGTTCACTCATATCAACAGAACTTGGTTGTGGAACAAACTGAGTTAGTGAACTGATCAGATTTGGTGGGATTGACAGATTCACACTTATTATCTGCACAAGTTATTTTTAACTTTATAAGACACAGGTCCTGTACATTGAACAATTTGACCTGGTATCCATTTTTCCTTTCTCCCATAATTTCTTAGATACACATTCTTATTAACACCAAATTCTCTTTCAATGCATGAGTTGTCATGATTTAATGGAACTATTTTTGAATTGGCATCTGAAAGTATTAAATGGCAAAAAATCTTTTTTTTTTTCTTTTGATGTTACCCTTTTAGTTTCTGTAAGTGCTAATGATGTTAGCAAAGTTGTTTGATGATCACATTCCTTCTTACTAATGTATTTGAAATTGCCATATCACCATAATCATTTATTAAGTTACAAATACTTTGTTTAGGCAACTCTGACTGATAATGGACTGCATCTTCTCCATCTTTTATATTATCTTCACAAAGGGTTTTAATTTCTTATTTTATATGGCCTTAAGTCATCATTCACAGACTTTTCAGGCCAACCATTCTTACAGTGCTCATATACTTTTATTAAGCACTCATCTTTTTGTGTTTCTCTTTTAATATCATTCACATCTATATTGGAGTTATCCATGATAGTGAAGAGAACAAATACATCTTCTGGTACATAGCTCAGGCTTTGGTTTTTTAAAGGTAATCTACTAAGACTATCTGCACTATTCTCAGATCCAGGTTTGTATTTCAATTCATAATTGTATGCAGTTAGTGTGATAGCCCATCTTTGAATTCTTGGTGAGGCATGCTCAGGTAGGGTTTTGTTTTCTCCAAATAAACCTAGCAATGGTTTATGATCTGTAAAGATGGTGAACTTCCTACCAAACAGAAACTTATGAAATTTCTTAACACCAAAAATGATGCCTAAGCCTTCCCTATCTAACTGAGAATAATTTTTCTCAGCCTGATTCAAAGATCTACTGGCAAAAGCAATGGGTCTGTCACCCTTCTCATCCATGTGGGACAAGACTGCTCCTACACCATCTGGTGAAGCATCACATGTCAATACAAGTCTTTTCCCTGGGTCATAGTGAGTTAGTAAGGTGTCAGTAGACAAAGCCTCTTTTGCTGTGTTAAAAGCAGCTTCTTGTTGTTTACCCCAGTGCCAAGTTGCATTTTTCTGTAGCAGCTTGTACAGTGGTGATAGTTTACCAGACAGATTCCCTATGAACTTTGCATAGTAATTTATCAAGCCCAAAAAAGCTCTTAGTTGTTGGGTATTTTCAGGTTTGGGTGCTTCTTTAATGGCTTTTGTTTTCTCAGGTTGAGGTCTGATGCCTTGCTTGCTTAATATATAACCAAGAAAACTAATTTCTGTCAACATGAATTGACATTTATCTTTGTTTATCTTTAAACCTTTTTCACCAACAATTTTCAATACTTTATCAAGTGTTTTAAGATGTTCAGTGTCATTCTTACCAGTTATGTATACATTGTCAAAATAAACACAAACATTTGGAATATCCTTAAAAATACTGTCCATGACAGCTTGGAAAATTCCAGGGCTAGATGATATGCCAAAACATAGTCTTTCATATTGGTAGAGTCCTTTATGTGTGTTTATTGTCGTATAGACTTTTGAATCTGGATGCAGTTCTAGTTGAGTGTAAGCATGACTAAAGTCTAATTCAGTGAATTTGTCTCCTCCTGCCAAATTCAAAGAGATTTCCTCAATGTTAGGTATAGGGTACCTATTTAGCTCTATTTGCTTATTCAGTGTAGTTTTATAATCTCCACAAATTCTTATAGAACCATCCTTCTTTAACACTGGCACAATGGGCGTCGCCCAATCGGAATAGTCTACCATCTTTATAATGCCATTAGATTCCAATCTACTTAGCTCATTTTCAATTTTATTCCTCATTGCATAAGGTGGAACTCTAGCTTTGCAGTATCTTGGATTTGTATCTTTAATGCTTAACTTCACTGTTCTATCATTTAGTAAACCTGAATTACCAAAAACACATTTATTTTCAGATATAACTTTATCTAGTGAAGTAAGACTAGATTCTTTTACATTCTTCAATGAACAAATACTCTCCCAATTTAACTTAAGATCACTTAACCAGTTCCTACCTAGTAATGGCGGTCCATTTCCTTCAACCACAAGAAGAGGAAGTTTAACACTTTGACCATTATAATTTACATGAACCATACACTCTCCTATTACCGGAACATTGTCACCAGTGTATGTTGTTAGACACTTGTGACATGGCTGTAGAGGCACTGATCCTCCTGTGACAGCGTCAAAATCTTTCTTTGTTATGACTGTTAGAGATGCTCCAGTGTCAAGTTGGAAGCTGATGCTCTTACCGTTGATATTAACTTGTACATTGATGGGAGCATGACTTATTGATTTAACAGAGAACAGGTTGAAATCCGGCTGCGAATCAGTTTGAGCATTTTCACAGGTAGAGTGGTTCATTGGTTGGGTTAGGTAGTCTTGGTGAGAGTTAACGTAGTGCTGCCTTTGGTTGCGGTACTGTCTTGACTGGCTAGATTTAGCAACAGACGAAGACTTTGCAAAGCAGGCCTTGGCAATGTGACCTTGCTTACCGCACTTATAACAAGTTGCTAACTTGAACTTGCACCGATGAGATGCATGGGAACCTTTGCATCGATGACATTTTTGATAATTATTACTAGATTTAGATCTAGGATTTGAACGAGCAGGCTGTTTAGCATAAGTTGGAATGCTCTGATGGGGTTGATGTTTATTGACTAACCTGCTGTTTACTGCATGGATCCCTGAAGGTGCTAAAGATCTCGCCGCATCTGATGACTGCTGGAATAAAGTTGCAAGTTGTATTGCTTTTTCTAATGTTAGATCTGACTCGAGCAGCAACTTTCTTTGAATATCAGGGCTGTTTACACCTGTCACAAACTTTTCACACAGTCTGTCAGACAGCGTTTCTCCGAATTCACAAAATTCACTTAAATGACGTAAAGCAGCAACATATTCTGATATTGACTCGTTTGGTTGACGAGTCCTACTGTCAAATCTAGCTCTACATAGAAACTTTGATGGGGTAGGCGCATGGTGGTCTGTTAGCAATTTGCTCAGCTCGTTAAAGCTCTTGGTAGTTAGACTGGCTGGTGCGCATAAGTCTTTTAGTAGCCTAAATTGTTGAGGCCCTATGACTGTTAACAAAACAGCTCTCTTTTTGGCTTCTATCGTCACGTTGTTTGCTTCTAGGTAAAAGCTTAACCTCTCTAGGTAATCTTGAATGATTTCATCATTCGCATCAAATTCTTTTATTTGGCCATACAGCGCCATAATTCTAGAAATAATTAGCTAATAAGCTCTAGCAAACCTCTTTTTTGCGTAAGTAGGTGCTCTTTCTAGTAGATGTTTATCCTTCGTCGCCAATTATAATAGATTGACGACAGAAGCCTGTGGTTGTATATAACACATTTAATGGGTCTAACTACCTCACGATGGTAACACCAGAGAGGACGGGAGGAAGTACACAAGGGACATCACTCAAGATAACAATATTATAAATATAACTAATACAGAAGAGTGAGTTCCCTTGACCTCACAATTATTTCAATCTATTACATGAGTAATCTACTCTATTGATTTTATTTATTGATATATAATAATACAAAGTTATACAGGCAAATATGAAATATGTTAGGAAATTGATCTAAAAGAAAATTGTAAGTAGATCTACTTGTAGGCGTGGCCAGCACCACAGCAGACGACGATATCGGGAAAACCCAGTTTGGCGCAGGTGTCAATCAGGAAGTCCCGGTCAGGGGTCATCGTGTACAGACACGTCTTTGTTTTCATCACCGGACCTAGGAACTGAGAGACGATCTAATCAGACATACTCAACCATACACAACCACACACAGTTCATCACCGGACCTAGGAACTGAGAGACGATCTAATCAGACATACTCAACCATACACAACCACACACACATTCTAGTACACACAACACCACACAACCACACACACTCTAGTACACACAATGTCACACAACCACACACACACTAGTACACATAATGTCACACAATCACACACACACACACGTACACACAATCTAGTTTAATCAAACAGATTACATCCCTTGTATCAAACAAATTCAATGGATTAAAAAAAAATTCTCATACCACGTTATGTTCCTCTAGTTCATTTTAGGCATCTCTAACATCCCCCCCCCCCCCCAAGCTCGTCCCCCACCCCTCTCAAAGAACAACATAGACAGAAAAAATGAAATGGGTGCCCTACCATGTCTAGCCATAATGATGCCCTACCTTGTGTAGCCATAATGATGCCCTATCTTGTGTAGCCATAATGATGCCCTATCTTGTGTAGCCATAATGATGCCCTACTTTCTGTAGCCATAATGATGCCCTGTGTAGTCATAATGATGCCCTGTGTAGCCATAATGATGCCATGTGTAGCCATAATGATGCCCTATCTTGTGTAGCCATAATGATGCCCTACTTTGTGTAGCCATAATGATGCCCTGTGTAGCCATAATGATGCCCTGTGTAGCCATAATGATGCCCTACCATGTCTAGCCATAATGATGCCCTACTTTGTGTAGCCATAATGATGCCCTACTTTGTGTAGCCATAATGATGCCCTACTTTGTGTAGCCATAATGATGCCCTACTTTGTGTAGCCATAATGATGCCCTACTTTGTGTAGCCATAATGATGCCCTATCTTGTGTAGCCATAATGATGCCCTACTTTCTGTAGCCATAATGATGCCCTGTGTAGCCATAATGATGCCCTACCTTGTGTAGCTATAATGATGCCCTACTTTGTGTAGCCATAATGATGCCCTACCTTGTGTAGCTATAATGATGCCCTACTTTGTGTAGCCATAATGATGCCCTGTGTAGCCATAATGATGCCCTACTTTGTGTAGCCATAATGATGCCCTATGTAGCCATAATGATGCCCTACTTTGTGTAGCCATAATGATGCCCTGTGTAGCCATAATGATGCCCTGTGTAGCCATAATGATGCCCTACCCTGTGTAGCCATAATGATGCCCTACCATGTCTAGCCATAATGATGCCCTACTTTGTGTAGCCATAATGATGCCCTACTTTCTGTAGCCATAATGATGCCCTACTTTTTGTAGCCATAATGATGCCCTGTGTAGCCATAATGATGCCCTACCATGTCTAGCCATAATGATGCCCTACTTTGTGTAGCCATAATGATGCCCTAACTTTCTGTAGCCATAATGATGCCCTGTGTAGCCATAATGATGCCCTGTGTAGCCATAATGATGCCCTGTGTAGCCATAATGATGCCCTACTTTGTGTAGCCATAATGATGCCCTACTTTCTGTAGCCATAATGATGCCCTGTGTAGCCATAATGATGCCCTACCTTTATGTAGCCATAATGATGCCCTACTTTTTGTAGCCATAATGATGCCCTACCTTGTGTAGCCATAATGATGCCCTACTTTGTGTAGCCATAATGATGCCCTACTTTCTGTAGCCATAATGATGCCCTGTGTAGCCATAATGATGCCCTACCTTTATGTAGCCATAATGATGCCCTATCTTGTGTAGCCATAATGATGCCCTACCTTGTGTAGCCATAATGATGCCCTACCTTGTGTAGCCATAATGATGCCCTACTTTCTGTAGCCATAATGATGCCCTGTGTAGCCATAATGATGCCCTGTGTAGCCATAATGATGCCCTGTGTAGCCATAATGATGCCCTGTGTAGCCATAATGATGCCCTACCCTGTGGAGCCATAATGATGCCCTACCTTGTGTAGCCATAATGATGCCCTGTGTAGCCATAATGATGCCCTGTGTAGCCATAATGATGCCCTACTTTGTGTAGCCATAATGATGCCCTACCTTGTGTAGCCATAATGATGCCCTACTTTGTGTAGCCATAATGATGCCCTGTGTAGCCATAATGATGCCCTACCTTTGGCAAATGTTTCGCCAAGAAACCCTGCACCCTCTCTAGACGGACGGGGTCTGGGGTCCAGGTCCTCGTGTCGCCGCTAACAACAGGACCAGCCGCATCGATTCCAATCTTCGTGCCACTTATTCCGTGTACCGGAAGTCCATAAATGTCATTTCCAGGGGCGTGGTAGATAAACATTGGGAATCTAGGGATCACGGTGACGTATTGACTAGATTATGGTGACAAATTGACTAGATTATGGTGATATATTGACTAGATTATGGTGACATATTGACTAGATTTTGGTGACATATTGACTAGATTTTGGTGACATATTGACTAGATTATGGTGACATATTGACTAGATTATGGTGACATATTGACTAGATTATGTGACATATTGACTAGATTATGGTGACATATTGACTAGATTATGGTGATATATTGACTAGATTATGGTGACATATTGACTAGATTTTGGTGACATATTGACTAGATTATGGTGACATATTGACTAGATTATGGTGATACACTGACTAGATTATGGTGATGTGACCTACTTAGGTCTGTTTGGCTTTATGTATATTTAATCTCCTGAGTTATGTATTTGTCCTTGGGAGAATTGTCAGTTCACTGGTACAACCCGGTCAACTGAACGCTGTCACATCATGTGATTGTAAGTTTAATCCCTGGCAGAACCTCAACCAATGGACTTGCGACCGTGAGGATCCTTGACTGACCCTCAACCAATAGTCGTAAGACTTTTGAGTTATTTCCCCTTACTCTGAGTTGTATTTAATCACGAGATTTTCATGTCCAGGGGCCGCCAGATTGACCTAGGGACCAGGAGAGGTGTGCCTGTGGTTAGGTACGCCATTTTGCAGTATTGTTATTTTGTGACATGATTTCACCTTTTGTATAAGGAATTATGTGACTAGTTGTAGTTTACTGAATTTGTGTTCTGGTGTATTATTACACCTTTTTGACTATCGGTGATAGTTCAACCTGTATAAGGATTTCTGTTGTTGTAGAGGCAAATTGTCTCTCCTTGGTCTTTTGTTGTAATTATTATGAGGCCAGTTCAGTTGTGTGTATTAATGATTTATCACAGCTGTGATGAATTGTGATTTTTCCTCAAACTGTAAGTTGGAGTTGAGTTTATTTATATTACACTGAGAATCTGTACATTTTGATCTTACCTAGTGTCATTATCTTGTACATAAATTAAAAAGGTATTCATAGTTTAAGTCGTGTGAGTCTCTTCGATTTGTCGTGTTTTACCCCTAGACTGCATTAACGAGCTCACGGCAAGTTGTTGAGATTCCGTTACAACGTCTTCTATCGGTACCATACCAAACGAACCTGGGGTGTCCGCTCCTGACTGGCTGTCGGAGGTCGGACATAACAAGTGAGGGCTCGACCGGTATTTTGATTTATGTGCAAGTTTGGCATTAGTTTGAGTTTGTGATTTAGAGTTTGGTCAGTAGTTCGAAGAAGTTGAACTAGTTATTGAGTAGTTGTTTTTGTTATCAGTTGAAGGTAAACATTGTTACTTTGTAGCTATGGAGGCTTTGTTGTTAAGTCCTACTGTGGAAGCAGTTGAGAACTTAAGTAGGAAAGAGTTGATAACAGTTGTCAAAAAGTTAAACCTGGACTATATTGTTACTCAGACCTCTAGGGTGTTGAAGGACAAAGTTATTGTTTACTTCATTAATGAAGGCATGCTAGATGAGAGTCTTCTTTCTGAAGTTTTGGCACGGGAAGTGGAAATTGTTGATAGGGAGTTTGAGGCCAGACTAAAGTTAGAAAGAGAAGTTCAGATGAAGCGGTTAGAATATGAGTTTGGTATTATTGGCAGTAGTTCGAGGTCAGAAGGTCCTTCTCAGTTGTCTGTGGCCCAAACATTGGCCCAGTTTTGCAAATTAGTCCCTAAGTTCGATGAGTCAGATCTTGTCGTATTTTTTAATACATTTGAGAACATGGCTGAAAGTTGTCAATGGCCTAGTAACGTAGTCACGACGTTATTAAGCACTGTTTTAATTGGTAAGGCTGCCACCACATACCAGGCACTCTCTCGCGAAGTCCAGTCAGATTACAAAAAGGTCAAGGCTGCCATTCTGAAGGCTTACGAAATAACTCCAGAAGCCTACAGAATTAAGTTCAGAAAAATTAGGAAACAACAGAACCAAACATATGTTGAGTTCCTTTTTGAAAAAGAAAAAGTCTTTTCAAGATGGCTCCATTCTGAGAATGTCGACGACTTCGACAAACTCAGAAGTCTGATACTAAGAGAAGATTTCCTCAACGCAGTACCTGAAGAGATCAGACTACACATCTTGGATAACCGAATAACAGACATCAAAAGGGCAGCAGAATCAGCTGATACCTTCGAGCTGGTGCATAAGAAGTCACAGGGTTCTGGTACCAAATACAATCCGTTACTACCTCTCATCAGCAACAATCCCTCTGCTGGCCAGTTGCTGAGATCTCGTCAATCAACACAGATACCCAGAGTCACAGCCAGGCGACTGATCTGCCACTATTGTTCCAAGCCTGGGCACATCATCAAGAACTGTTTCCTGCGACAGCGAGACAACAGAGAGTATGTACGAACATCTCGTAACGCTCTCCCCCACCAAGCAAGTCCAAAGGTGAACCTCGCCCGTCGTGATGTCACTACACCAGCGTGTCCACAGGGAGGTAACGAAGTGACCACCACTTTCGTCCAGTCATCTTATGACTATCCTCTTCACCAACCGGTTACATCAGCAGCAACCAATTGTGAAGAATCGAGAACTGTTGGCTTCACGTCATTCATGACAGATGCTGTCATCAGCAACCCTGGAGACCCAACATCATCGCGGAACATCGTAGTCCTAAGAGACACTGGGGCTTCTCAGTCACTTTTGCTGAGAGACTCATTGAACATCGCTCCAGAAACCAACACCGGTGATGTCACCATCATTCAAGGAGTAGGAGCTGAACCAACAGTAGTTCCACTACATAAGTTCAACTTGAGACATCAGCTCATCCAAGGAGATGTCATCCTTGGGGTGATAGATTCCATACCTGTCCCAGGAGTACACCTGCTTCTAGGGAATGACCTAGCGGGAAGCAAAGTCCACCCCCAGGAAGTTCAGAACCCGTTCTCTACAGACCCCGACGGTGAAAATGAACTGTTCTTTTGGCCGAGAATGCACAACGATGACACCCGTTATTGCAGACATTGTAAGAACTGTCAGTTGGTTGGGAATCCCAGTCAAAATATTCCCAAGGCCGATGAGACCGATTCTTGTGCTAGACGAAGCATTTAACAAGATTACCAAGGACTGCGTCACCTACTTCCCAGACCGGAGAAAGAAACAACTGGTTTATCATGTAAACTCACTATCTCTTTCTCCACAGCTAAGTTTATGTTACATATAAGTATTTCGAGTAAATTTGATGATGCTACTCTTAAATTGTTAAAGTCCCCATTTTTGACCCAGTTAGGTCATATTGAACATTTATCTTCTAATGAGAATCAGACATTCTCACAGGTAGTTAAAACTTTACCCTCCATGCTTAGAGATGGCAGGTTACTATAGGCGGTTTTGTAAAAACTTTTCAGCTGTAGCTGAACCACTTACGGCCTTATTGAAAAAGGGTGTTGAGTTTGAATAGTCAACTAAATGTCATGAAGCCTTTTTGACCATTAAGTCATTTTTATCAAATGCTCCTGTTATGGCTGCACCAGATTTCAGCAAGCCTTTTAAACTTGCCATTGATGCTAGCAGTTTAGCCATTGGCTCAGTCTTATTCCAGGAAGACAACCGAGGGATCGATCATCCAATAGCCTTTTTCTCTAGAAAGTTAAATGAGAATCAAAAGAATTACTCCACTATTGAAAAAGAAGCATTAGCTTTAGTCCTGTCCTTACAGCATTTTGAAGTCTATGTCACCTCTTCCATCAATCCAGTCATGGTATTTTCTGACCATGATCCTCTTAAGTTCACTACTAAGTTGGGACAGAATAACAACAGAATTTTAAGATGGTGTCTATTTTTCCAAAATTTTAATCTGGTTATTTCCCATATTAAAGGAACTGACAACATTGTAGCTGACTGTTTGTCAAGAATGTAAAACAACTTTTGATGTTCACCTTGATCTTGTGAAACTTTTTTGGTTAGTTATAACCATTTTGCAAATGTTATGTTTGATCAAACTGTAGCTTAGTGGCTGGAGTTCCAAGCTTTCAATCAGATCAGGATTGTACGTTTTGTACGAAACTGATTACTTGTTGGAAATGCCTGTTATTTTCAAATGAACCTTATTTAAAGGTGGTTTTGTATAATGTGCATTGAGTTCTTATAAAAATGTATCACATTATTCAGTGATGTTGTAGTGGGACGTTTAAATAAAGGAATTAAGTTGTAAGTTTCCCACATATTATATCCAGATGGATATGTTGTGTTTCCTTTGCATAAGGAACTTTGATGTATTATTATTTTGGGAAGGATTGTTTCCCTTTGGTAAATTGTAAAAAGGTGAATTGTTTCCCTTTAATTCTTAAGGATGTTTTTTCCTGACATAGAAATTTTGTAAGTTACTATAATTGGACATTTTTTGTCAGATTTGTTCCATATAGTGATTGCCATTTTTGTGTAACAAAAATGCCTCTCTAAAAGGGAGGGGATGTGACCTACTTAGGTCTGTTTGGCTTTATGTATATTTAATCTCCTGAGTTATGTATTTGTCCTTGGGAGAATTGTCAGTTCACTGGTACAACCCGGTCAACTGAACGCTGTCACATCATGTGATTGTAAGTTTAATCCCTGGCAGAACCTCAACCAATGGACTTGCGACCGTGAGGATCCTTGACTGACCCTCAACCAATAGTCGTAAGACTTTTGAGTTATTTCCCCTTACTCTGAGTTGTATTTAATCACGAGATTTTCATGTCCAGGGGCCGCCAGATTGACCTAGGGACCAGGAGAGGTGTGCCTGTGGTTAGGTACGCCATTTTGCAGTATTGTTATTTTGTGACATGATTTCACCTTTTGTATAAGGAATTATGTGACTAGTTGTAGTTTACTGAATTTGTGTTCTGGTGTATTATTACACCTTTTTGACTATCGGTGATAGTTCAACCTGTATAAGGATTTCTGTTGTTGTAGAGGCAAATTGTCTCTCCTTGGTCTTTTGTTGTAATTATTATGAGGCCAGTTCAGTTGTGTGTATTAATGATTTATCACAGCTGTGATGAATTGTGATTTTTCCTCAAACTGTAAGTTGGAGTTGAGTTTATTTATATTACACTGAGAATCTGTACATTTTGATCTTACCTAGTGTCATTATCTTGTACATAAATTAAAAAGGTATTCATAGTTTAAGTCGTGTGAGTCTCTTCGATTTGTCGTGTTTTACCCCTAGACTGCATTAACGAGCTCACGGCAAGTTGTTGAGATTCCGTTACAACGTCTTCTATCGGTACCATACCAAACGAACCCGGGGCGTCCGCTTCCTCCGCGGCTGTCGGAGGTCGGACATAACAGTGACATATTGACTAGATAATGGTGACATATTGACTAGATTTTGGTGAAATATTGACTAGATTATTGTGATATATTGATTAGATTATGGTGACATATTGACTAAATTATGGTGAGATATTGACTAGATTATGGTGATATATTGACTAGATTATGGTGACATATTGACTAAATTATGGTGACATATTGATTAGATTATGGTGACATATTGACTAGATTATGGTGATATATTGACTAGATTATGGTGACATATTGACTAGATTATAATGACTAGATTATGGTGATATATTGACTAGATTATGGTGATATATTAACTAAATTATGGTGACATATTTACTAGATTATGGTGACATATTGACTAGATTATGGTGATATATTGACTAGATTTTGGTGACATATTGACTAGATTATGGTGACATATTGACTAGATTATGGTGATATATTGACTAAATTGTGATGACTAGATTATGGTGACATATTGACTAGATTATGGTGACATATTGACTAGATTATGTTGATATTGGCCTATATATATATATATATATATATATATATATATATATATATATATATATATATATATATATATATATATATATATATATACCCCCGAGATGGAATTTATATAGTAAACATATACTTTTACTAGTGTTCGCCCCCCGGAAAATGTAGACCGCCACCCCGGAAATATCAAGTGCCCCCCCCTCCCCCGAGAAAAAAATCACTGGCCACAACCAACCAAAAACAAAACATAAACACAAAAACAACCGCAAACGTAACGCAGTGCACACGGTATAAACAGGGGCGCGGCAATACCGTCTAATTCAATTTAGTGAACGACTATAATGTCTGACTACCCCACCTACCTGTCTGACTACCCCACCTCCCTGTCTGATACCCCACCCAACCTACCTGTCTGACTACCCCACCTACCTGTCTGATACCCCACCCACCTACCTGTCTGACTACCCCACCTCCCTGTCTGATACCCCACCCAACCTACCTGTCTGACTACCCCACCTACCTGTCTGACTACCCCACCCAACCTACCTGTCTGACTACCCCACCTACCTGTCTGACTACCCCACCTACCTGTCTGATACCCCACCCACCTACCTGTCTGACTACCCCACCTACCTGTCTGACTACCCCACCCACCTACCTGTCTGACTATCCCACCTACCTGTCTGACTACCCTACCTACCTGTCTGACTACCCCACCCACCTACCTGTCTCACTACCCCACCAACCTACCTGTCTGATACCCCACCCACCTACCTGTCTGACTTCCCCACCAACCTACCTGTCTGATACCCCACCTACCTACCTGTCTGACTATCCCACCTACCTGTCTGATACCCCACCCACCCACCTACCTGTCTGACTACCCCACCTACCTGTCTGACTACCCCACCTACCTGTCTGACTACCCCACCTACCTGTCTGACTGCCCCACCCACCTACCTGTCTGACTACCCCACCTACCTGACTACCCCACCCACCTACCTGACTACCCCACCTACCTGACTACCCCACCCACCTGTCTGACTACCCCACCTACCTGTCTGACTACCCCACCTACCTGTCTGACTACCCCACCTACCTGTCTGACTACCCCACCTACCTGTCTGACTACCCCACCTACCTGTCTGACTACCCCACCTACCTGTCTGACTACCCCACCCACCTACCTGTCTGACTACCCCATCTACCTGTCTGACTACCCCACCTACCTGTCTGACTACCTCACCTACCTACCTGTCTGACTACCCCACCCACCTACCTGTCTGACTACCCCACCTACCTGTCTGACTACCCCACCTACCTGTCTGACTACCTCACCTACCTACCTGTCTGACTACCCCACCTACCTGACTACCCCACCTACCTGACTACCCCACCCACCTACCTGTCTGACTACCCCACCCACCTGTCTAACTACCCCACCTACCTGTCTGACTACCCCACCCACCTGTCTGACTACCCCACCTACCTGTCTGACTACCACACCTACCTGTCTGACTACCCCACCTACCTGTCTGACTACCCCACCTACCTACCTGTCTGACTACCCCACCTACCTACCTGTCTGACTACCCCACCTACCTACCTGTCTGACTACCCCACCTACCTGTCTGACTACCACACCCACCTGTCTGACTACCCCACCTACCTGTCTGACTACCCCACCTACCTGTCTGACTACCCCACCTACCTACCTGTCTGACTACCCCACCTACCTGTCTGACTACCCCACCTACCTGTCTGACTACCCCACCTACCTACCTGTCTGACTACCCCACCTACCTACCTGTCTGACTACCCCACCCACCTGTCTGACTACCCCACCCACCTACCTGTCTGACTACCCCACCCACCTGACTACCCCACCTACCTGTCTGTTGTGAACTCCTTTACGTGAGGTGATGCGAAGTACGTGACATTTTCCTGTGTGACGTAGACAGGCACGTGACCGCCGATGCAGCTCAGGATGTTGTTGATCCAAGCCCCGGCAGTCACCACTACACGGCGGCAGGTGAACTTACCCAGGGGAGTGGTCAGCTAGAGGACAAGACATGATTAGCTAGAGGACATGGTCAGCTACAGGACATGGTCAGCTAGAGGACAAGACATGGTCAGCTAGAGGACATGGTCAGCTAGAGGACACGGTCAGCTAGAGGACATGGTCAGCTAGAGGAAACGGTCAGCTAGAGGACATGGTTAGCCAGAGGACATGATCAGCTAGAGGACATGGTCAGCTAGAGGACATGGTTAGCCAGAGGACATGGTCAGCTAGAGGACATGATCAGCCAGAGGACATGATCAGCTAGAGGACATGGTC